AGGAGGAGATGCCATAAAACCAAAAATAAGAAAAGAGCTGGATCAGAAAAGAATCGACATACTTGAATCAAAAATGATATCAGAAGAGTCACTAGAAAATGATGAAGTTGGCAAATCGGAGATCATAATAGGATCATTTGCTCCACCAGATACGGAGTAGATTCCACTATATCTTCATGCCGGCAGCTAGACAGAGTAGACTCAGCAAGAGAGTCACAGCCTCGCTCGACAAGCTTAGAACTCAAGAAGACACAAGAGTAACAAGGAACACTCCTTGGGACAGGGGGAGAATGACAGCAATCCCGAATGGTGGAAAGAGAACTTGGAGGAATCATAGACTGGTCAGAAGGCTTAGCCCCGGGTTGGGGAAACAGATGCAAATCACGTCTGTTTGTGGTAAGACGACCCCTAGCCCGGTTTGATGAACCTCTACCCCGGTGGTGCCCTAACTCTCTATTCGACATCCCAGACCTTCTCCGAGATCTACCACCACGGCAACCACAAAGCATGGCTTCCTGTACCTCTTCTTCGGTCCTTGGAATCCCCCAAAGCCAGAAACGGGCACCAGGAGGAATCTTTTTGAAAAAATCAGAATCTTCCTCTTTCTCCCCCTTACAACACAAAGCTGAAAAAGGGGGTTTTTCCCCCTCATTTGGTTAAAAAGCTAAATGACGCTAAGATTTCAAATAGCACAAGAGGGGACGAGGAAGACAAGGTGATAAACACCAAAATGACAGAAAGGAGTACACAAGCTGTGGAAAGTGCAAAGTATGGGTGTAATGAGAAGATAAAAGAAAATCAACGAAATAGCATATACAAGGCAAACAACTCAAAATTGAAAAAACATGCTCACGAACAAATGGAAAAATGAAGGCATTTCAAAACAGAAGAAACAAAAGGCTGAAGATGAGTGAAATACCTGTTGGGAAAGATGAAGTACCAAGAAGATGGAGAAATGCGTTTGAAACGCTGAGACTCGAAGAAATGAAATTGACGCACAATGCTCAGAAGGTAAACAAAAGCACGTAATGTGAGATAGAGACTTATATAGGCATGACTAGTGAACATTAGGGTTGCGAATGGCAAATGTTAGGGCTACTAAGGTCTTTGCACTTGTAAATAATAACTGCAACAATCATGGGAGGTAACCGCAATCATCATGGGCGGTAGCTGCAACACGCAGAAATGGCAAGGGTCAGGGTCACTAATGCCAATTCATTTTAAAAGTATTGATTAGACAACTGAAACGATGCTGCAATAAATGCGCACGAAACACGAAATCGGCATAAAACGGCTGCGGTACGCTAAAGCATTCGGGATGTAGCACGTGGCAGAACGAAATGAGTTCAACTCATAAACCAACAGATAAGACAGGGTACATACATATGCAACTATCAACTGGGTTAAACACCTGAGACTTGGGGGCAACTAGCCAGTTGGACCACAACTACTCAAGAACACCTGTTACCCGGTTGCTACATGAAGTATTTTGACGGGTTCATGCAAGACCCGTCGACCAATTAACTAAAGGCATAAAGTAACACTCCAAGTTAAGGTATGATGCTTGAGGGCAACCCGTCAGTTGGATCCCAACAACTTAAACACATCCCCAACTCGGAGCAAGAACACAGAAAGGGTTGATGCTCAACCTGCCGATATAAGGAACGAGGAAAAATCGTCCTTGACATAAGCCACAAATTCATAATAAGCATAAACGCTGATATTGAGGGACAACTCGCTAGTTGGATACCAACTGCTCAAGCCTACCCCCAATCCAGAAAAAAAGGGATACAACAAATATCTCACCGGGTTGATGCTCAGCCCGTCGACATAAGAGGCAAGAGATACCCAACATGGAAAAAACTCAAAGAATGAGGAACATTGCAAAAGTTTGAAAGTTGGCAAGAACGCAAACATACTCAGGAACACAAACCTGAAGAAACGCACACATAAGTTCACCTCGGCAACCCGGATATCCAGGTAGTCTGGCTGAGGGGCAACTGTTATGGGCCTATATAAGGGGCTCATTAAGTGATAGGCCCAACAAGGGGCAATCCAAGATCTGAATTAGTAATAATCATGGATAGATATCCATCAAGGATACTAATCCTAATACGACAGCATAGCAAACAGGCCTAGGCCCTTATCAGAGGCACCAAAGGCTCATTCACGCTACCCACAGGTAACTTTTATAAATACAAGGTAAACCCTAAAGGTACGAGACACACTCTCTCTTACTGTTATGCTGTCATTATGCGCACGCACACACCCCATTGGCTAATGTCGTTATAGTATTCCGTGCACAGTGATCTGCTTGACTCAAGGGTATCTTCTTCATAGATACCTTGAAGAGAACACTAGATCCAAAAGAAACATATCAGCCTATTGGGTTGGATATCTCTGTCCTAAGGACAGAACACTACCCACTAACACTAGATAGGCTCCATTAATAGCTATGACCTATTCTTTAGAAAAGTTAAAATTCAAATAACTACCCATTACTTAAACAACCCAACAATTCAAAAAATAATAAAATAAAAAATCGTAACACGCTCCCATAGTTAAAATCCGCCGGAAGTCTCCAAGTTGAATAGGAAAAACATGACCCTTGTTACTTCTATGTGATTATGCTCTCAAGTTTTTATTTTATTCATTCACTTCTTCTCACAAAATTTCCTAATTCTCCAATGTGTACCCATGACAGCGATTTCCAACTAGTGGTGAACTTTAACACAAGCAAGAAATACCATACAAGGTAGCATGAATACATCCAAAACAAAATCCAATGGAGGTTATTAATTTCTCTGCCTATGAACCCACATTCATTTATATCCCATTATAGGCACATCCGCACATGCCACGCATGAACTGTTATTAGGTCAGAACCACCACCAAATATACACAGGTGGCAGCATCAGAGACACATGCCTAAAGGGAGTTGCATGATCACTCATGGTGGGGTCACACAAGTTTGAAATTTTTTGTTCATTTAGTGGGTTTGTATCAAAGCAGGGTGTGACTTGGCTTAGCCTCTTTTACACACATACATAAAAATGAAAATACACACGTCCTCAAGACCCCAATTGAGGGTTGCAAATTGCAATGCAAAAACACAAATCTCTCTCCAAAGGGAATCTATCTAAAAAGCCATTTATGCCAAACACAAAAGCCTTTACTTATCCACCACCTTTTCCCTTTTCTTTTCTTCTTGTACAATGTCATGTAACCCCCAAGATTCTTTTCTTTTTCAACTCTTAACTTTGGAAAGTAACGCATATACATATATATATATTATACATATTATACATATTATTAAGCAAGGTAGGAGAGTTTGAAGAGGACAAAGAAGAATCAATGTGTCACCCTGGAGTTCCTTTTGTGAGCCATGAAGGCTTGATGGTGCATAGAAGATGGCTTGTATTCAGAGGTATAACTGTGGCAGGGCATGCACCGAGCCAAGTTCATGGTGGTGGTGGTGGTTCCGGCGAGGGTGCTTCAGTTAAGAGTTGTGTATGCTCGCCGTCGAAGCATCCGGGGTCATTCCGGTGCCGGCAACATCACGGCGAGTATGTGTGGCGTGGCAGAACAATTAAGTAGTGATGGTTCCATACTTCCATTGATTCCATGAGATGTATCCAATTTCAATCGTACGTTAAGGTTCTAATATATAAGCATGCATATAAATATATGTTACTTTTTTCTTGTTCCTGGATTCTCGTGAAAGATTTTGAGATTACAATGGTTGTCAGAGTTACTCGCATTTCGTAACATATCATGAAAAATGATGAATGCTTTTCTTTGTTTCCCCTGTTCTAATTACGCCGAAGCATCATAATTCATAACTAGTGGATTTGGATTCGAAAGAAAAAAAAATGACTTTTTTTTTCTCCATAGTTCTTAGTTTAATACACAAAATTTAAAATTGGCAAGGGTGTAGTGGGTACTCATATCCATGAGATATCGATTCAAGGAAAATTTCACGCGTTAACTCAATACAAAAAAAAAATGATATGTTCAAGGTTGTGGAACCATCTTAAAAAATTCACCTATTTAAAGAAAGATTTTACACATTCTATTTTTTTTTTTTTCATTTAAGTGCTTGGATTGGAATAGCCAGTATCACTCTTGAAAGATTCAATCTATTTCCATCACTACGGTTGTTCGTCCGCAAAATTATAGAAGCATTTTATTTTTGTTTATGAATGATGTCAAGGAAAAGGCATTATATGCTTCCTTCTGACCATGAGATATAAGACATAATCAAAAGCACCCAATCTTTAAAGTACGATAAAAGAAAACAAGTATTTATACCCTTAGTTAAATTCCCCTTGTTTGGGGCCATGTTTGCCCACCACCCACAAATCTGCAAAGAATTTTAGTTCTTTTGCGCTTTGCTAGAGAACCCACTGAGAACAGAATATTATTTGTTAAAACAGAGACTGGTACCAGAAATTTGATGCTTGATAGCGAACCATTAACCACACATTGACGAAGATATTCCACCAAGAAATTGAAATTCAAAATTCTGTTCAGCAACTCCAACATCAAGTCATACAGTGCTACCGTGGTAGGATCTTCCATGCCTACCAACACTGCACATGTCTGTGTGAGGGCCCTTCAATGCCTTCACTCGCTCCAATAAAGCTCAACAAATGATCACATATTCAATAGGCGTTTGGTATGTCAACATTTTTCACATTAAAAATTAAAAACAAACATCAATATGAATTGCCTGAAAGTATTTTAAATTTGGCGAAAAGTAATGGGGAAAAAGCTAATCACATGGCTTATGGCCACTATACCATTTCTTATATCATCTCATTGTAGAACAAAATAAAAAAACATTGGTCATACCATCCAATGGGAAAGTATATAAGCCATAATGCACTTGCAAAACAAAACCTGACAAATATCGAAGATGTGAACATATAAAGTAGATGTTTTGGAGTCATTGTAAAAAATTCCCAGAAAATAAGCATGGCATTTAAAGAGAGGAGAAATAAAATCGTATTATCAGGAAAACTTTCATATTTTTATTTCATACCCACAGTACTCACAAACTCTCCGGTACCACTTTCATTAAATTCACTTCGTTCAAGCATTAAATACAAGATGCTGGTTGTCTCTGCTCAACCAGAATTTACAAGGGCGTGATCCATATACAAAATATACAGCATGGTAAAAGTAATGCAATGAACCGCACACCACCGCCGTTGTATAAACAAATGATGCTAAGGACTAATACCACATCATGCATCTCCAGTTCCATTATATGGGCTCTGATCCAGAGTATCACCCAGTGACTGAAGCAAATGAATAATGGATTAGCAACTTCTTTCTATATTAAATCACAATATGCATTAAAAAAATCCTTATGAGCCAAATGGTTTGCATAGACAAAACTTAAAAGTAGGGGAAACGAGAAGCCTCTATAAATATAATTCAATTTAACCTTGACTTTTGAAACCATTTAAAAGCAACCATAGATGAAAAGGAATGATACCAAGGGTAAACTCTATGAGAAACTCAATCCCCCAGCACAGTTCTTTAGGATTTTAAGAAACAATGATAACGGTCAAGGCAAAGAAGCTTCTAGGCTGACAAATATTGGCTCAAACTCAAGCTCCAAAATGAAAATACCACCTTCAATCTAACAGCATAAAACATATGAAATTCTTTGAAGTTTCAAGTCAGTTATGCAGAATTTCCCAGACCCATAGGAAAAAATAGTTTTATGAGAATGCTATTCCAGTTCAAGCACGCAGCTAGAAAAAGATTCGATTAGCCAGTGATATAAAGACTAATTAAAAACTGGCAGAAAAAGTATCATAGATAACTATCTAAGAAAAGGGAAAAGAAAAAGGTGCTGTACTGCTATCCAATTAGAAACAAAAAAGTGAATCCAAGGTTTCAGTCAAAAACAATGAAAATGATGCCCTCAATAATAATAGTTTTGCACATAGGGGAATCCTATAATCTGTCTTTCTTGTCATGGTTAGAACTCTTATTTTAAAAATACCGCTATAAATAATTGAAGACAGCCCCCTAAGGTAATGACACATGCTAATTTAAGTTTAATTGAGCAGTTTCTCAAACATCCTGGTTCCATTTTTTTCTTAAGGTCTAAAACATAACCTATGCATAATACTTAATTTGCAAGCTTTTTTATGGTAAGAATGTAAAATATGCTCTCTTAGGTTAACATGGGTAATTACTATATATAGTATAACAACATTTTATACCTTAGTTTGGTTGGATTTGCAAAAAAAAATTACAGGAGAACGGCAACCAATAATCTAAAGCAAAATTGGACACTTCTGTCCTTTTCTATGTTATGTTTCAGCTAATAAGCAACGGCTTTGTAGTTTCAAATTACTGACACATAAAAAGCCCCTTCCAGGATTATGCAGTTTATAATGTATCATGGAAGATTAGAGGACTACGCAATACTGTCTCTCCATTATCATGCTAGCTTCAACTTGGTTTTAACTCTCTCTATAAAATGCGGGTAACTGATGTAATCATCTAGGGTGGTAAAAGCAGACAGACAGTGTTTGACAGTAAACGAAGGAGAACTTGACCAAAATGCAAGGTCACAGATTTACTAAGAACAACACAAGAAGCTACAGAAGGGATGTGTGCAATGCCTTTGCACCAAACAAATTAGTTGCTGAAGTATAAATCAGAAACAAGTATTCAATTCAGCAAAATAATGGAATGGATCAAAGGAATAATCCCTCCCTATCTTTAGATGAAATTGATTATTCCTTGTGCATAAATATGCAGTCAAAATTGCAAAATAGCGTTCCATGGAAGAAACTAAAATTCTCACCTCTGGATAGCAGTCTTGACGTACAATTGTCTGCTTGTTTATATTCACAAAGACTTCGCATGACACTGTTGCCTGGATTGAGCATACAATATTTTAGATATAAAAGGTATCGAACAGGCAAAAGCACTCACATTAATCATGTCAAGAAATGAAAATCATAAAAAAAAAACAGCAAGATAACAAATTCCACTAATCAAATATGAGATTTTGAGCAGGTTTTAGACTCGTATAGTTACATTTCCAGACAAAAACGAAATAACAACAATAATTATTATCACCCTAAAAAATATCACTATCGGAGCCAGTTTTTCACATACCCAGAAACGAAACTGAATTAAATAAAAAAAATAAAAAATTGCAACTTTAATTCACAAGTGAAGAAGCACCTTCAAAGGGACATGGAAGAAGAAAAGCCCCAATTTCCCTTCAACTCGCGTGTCAGTATCGAATGGAATCACACCCTTGGCTATATCTTGCAGCAAGTAGAAAGCATCGTAGATGACCTCAAACCCATCGACACTGAGCGTGACGTCGACGTAGGAATAGCGGCGCATCCCGATGCGGCCGCCGCCGGCGGAGTTGACGAACCCTAGCTGGCGGCCGCGATAGCCGACGGAGACGGCGAGGGAGTCGTAGGAGAGGGAGAAGAAGTCCCTATTGCGAACCTTGACGGTGACGTCGAAGGAGAGGTCGAGGATTGGCTTCGGAGTGGTTCGGATCCCGATGTTGTTGAGTCGGATCCGGGTGACCCGGATCTCCGGGTCGGATGGGTAGAAGAGGAAAGCGGCAACGGCGAGAAGGAGGAATAGGACGAGCGCGGCGGAGTAGAGAAAGCAACGGCGGCGAAATAGAGGGTAGAGACGGTATCTGTATGCGGGGAGCAAAACGACGACGTTTTGAGGCGGTGGATAAGGGTACTGATAAGGGTTAGGGTTAGGGTTTGAGGGGAGAGGCGAGTAAGAGACAAACTCGTCCTTCCCTGTCATCTTGAAAAAACGATATGGTCGTTTCAATGCACACTACGCCTTAGGACAAAATACGTAACACAAACAAACACATAACCCTTCCTTAAAGTTTAAGACGTTTAATTAGTTACTCTTTTTTCCTCTACGATGATGAGTTGGCATTTCTTAATTGATAACTCACATGTCAAACGGGCCCATGATATTATGGGGAATTCTATTCCTATCCCACCATCTCTTAAATTTTTCATGCTCTCGTGTAATTTTATAGGTAAAGGCTATAAATATTATTTTTTTTCTTATTACTTCTTATTATTAAATTTTAATCATTAATTTTTGTCAATCTAATAATAATAATTTATTAAAATTTAATAACTAATTAATAAATATAACTCAATAAATTATAATCATTAAATTGACAAAAATTAATGGTTAAGATTTGGTAGTAAGAAAAAAGATAGTAAGTATAATCTTTCCCAATTTTATAATCGATAAACATTACTTACGTTTTTTTAGCGTAGACGATAAATATTAATATAAGCGTTCTATCTGAAAATGAAAATAAAGAAACTAAACATAGCGTAAAAGTGTGACCGTTTTTTTTGAAATATTCAAATCGATTCATCGCTTTGTGAGTAGTCTGATTCGGAACGAGTCCCGGGATTAAGGCTTTAAACTTCTTTCAAAAATAGTACTAAAAAGAACCGAACACATGTTCTCACCCTCACTTTTTCTTTTCTTTATATACAGTTTTTGATTGTATAACTACCAATTAAAGTTTATAAGTAATTAAGATTTGAGCGTAATATTAATGTAAGAGATTAAACCTTTCGGAAAGATTAATGTCACTTTCGAGGAGATTAAGAATTTAAATTTTTAGGAGCTTATATTTGATAATGATCAGTCCAATAGGGATTGAGATAGATCGAACACAGTTAAGTTCAATAGCTATCTCGATCTTAGCTGGGATGAGTGTTGCGAGATAATGGCTCAGTGGGATGTTCTATGAGTTTGCAGAATACTGTGTGGATGGAGGATTTAAGGCTGGATATCCTGATTGGCTGAGATGACTGAGGGAGGTACCTGCAAGGCACTCTGACGCTCAAATCAATATATGAGTTGCGAGCTTTAGTTAAGATATAATAGATGATTATCCTGCTTATGTCTCCTCAGTATGACGACATTTAACCTCATTGGTGCATAGAAGTGGCTCTTGCAGGCTATCCTTTGTGTGGGATGACTATTTGTGAGTTATGTCTTATAGGTGTAGATGGAACTAGGTGCATGTCCATTGGCCATTGGCTATTAGGATGGTTGAGGAGTCCTGAGTTATTGATGTCGTGTAGCCACTGAGCTATTCATGTCGTGAGTCAATCTACTTGTAAGGTGTTATATAAGTATGATGGTCGTGTTTCCTTAACCTTGAAGTCTTAGTGATTGGGCCTTTTGGACCATTTATGGACTGGACCTTATATCTCATATGGGATTGGTCTCAAGTAGATAATAATGCATAGTGCCTTCTACGTTTTCTTAAGAATTTTCCTAAAAGCTTATTTCTTTTTTGCCTTTAAAAAGCTTATTTATTTGAGACATTAAAAGCAAAAAAAAAAAAAAAATCCTATAAAATACAAAAGATACTCTAGCTACAACAAGCAAGTTTTGAGTTGGTAAAGTGGGGTTGAATCGACATGTCAAACCACCAACCTGTCAAAATGAGGTGGGGAGGATTGTATATTTCAACCCATCAACTGAACACAACTCTCCCTGAATGTATGCAGGTCAAAGTGGGTTAGGGACAGGATAGGTTGTTTCGCGGGTCAATGTTTTGTTTTTTCTTATTCAACTTGTCATCTTTATATATATCACATTGTTTCTTCACCAATATATTTATATCTATAAGTTTCAACTATATTATATATGACACATTTGACTTTATATTTGAATATAGGCTTTTAATGTTTCTACAGTGAATATAAATAAGTTATCTACATTCGCTCTCAAAACGATATTGCTTTAGGTTGAAAAATTAAAAAATTAAAATACTATTATAAACTTGAAACAAATTATAATTACAAAAATAACTTGATTTCCGTCTTAAAACGACGTCGCTTTGGATTCAATGTAGATAAATTACCTACATTGACCGTAGAAAAAGCAAAACCTTGAATATATTGTAGTTTTATTGCAAAATTGCAACATCTATGACTACCTCTAATGGTTAGTTTACTATCATTACAACTTTAGGTTGAACTGAACAAAATAAAAAAACAAGTATTTCTGTACACAATACTATCACTAAAGTAATTTCGTAATAATAATGTTTGTACAATTTTACCCATTGACACAAATTTCTCATTTAACCACAAGTTATTACATAACGTAGTGAATCCAAGATAATTTCTTCATTTTTTTAACATTAAATGATACGTTGAGAAAAAAAAAATTTATTTTTTTAGATGGGTTGATATTTTCAACCCACTCATTAATAATGGATCAAGCCCCAGCCCTATTTTTAGCATATTGGAGACAGGTTTGGTTGAGTCGGCTTATTTTGTAACTCTTTTTGAGTTTACAAATTATTGGTATTTTTAACTCCACTTTTTTATTTAGAGTATTCAAATCAGTATTTATACTTTAAATAATTACTTTTTTTAATATCATATTAGTACTCAAGTTTGAAGATATAACCTTATACAAATTATACTTTTGCAGTTCGGTCAAAAGTAAATTATCAATATTGAAAATAAAGGATTTATAAAATTATTACTTTATAATCTTATCTCAAATAATTAAATATAATTAAAGTGTAACCATGCGTCTATCTATACATTATGCACTTATCCACTATCAAGCCAACCTGTTAGGTTTTTGCTTTTGTTAATATGGATAAGCTCTACTAACCACAAAACAATAATTCAAGTTCCGCAATAGACATGAGTCATGTGATAATGACTGAATTTTTTTGGTATACGATAGTGACTGAATTTTCATCAACAAGAGAAATCAATCCAAAATACTAATAGGATTGAAATATGCAAAGTGGTTTAGAATATGTAGACTTGTGATCGTGATATCAATTGTAGCTTGTTTAGAATAGTATATTTTAAAAATGATATAAGTTATAATGAATATTTATATGGGGAAGGATATTGTGACAACCAAGTTGTGTTACTACCAAGTGACTATCAATCAATCTCACCGTTAGATCGATTATGTTGATCCAACGGTTATATTTATTTCCATCTTTGTATGGTTATGATTCTCCAAATTTAATACTTTATATTTATTTTTACCTTTGTATGGTTATGATTTCCCATATTTAATGCTTTCACTTTAAATATGGAGAATCATGACCATACAAAGATGGAAATAAATATAACCGTTGGATCAACATAATCGATCTAACGGTAAGATTGATTGGTAGTCACTTGGTAGTAACACAACTTGGTTGTCACAATATCCTTCCCCTATTTATATATATCTTTAATATGATTCCACTAATACGTTAATAAATTTCTCTAAATATAGGCCCACCATATATTAACTTATCATGAATTTCCATGTGAAGGATAATTAACCAGAATATATATGATGGCACCAAGTTTGAGTGCCAAATTAACCTAATCATCACGACCAGGGGCAGTTGGTGCAGATGTTGTCCCCAGGTAGAAATGCTGCACAGATAGGCATTGGATTCTTTATGCCCAAATCAATTATATCTTTATGTTCATAATTGACACTGTATATAATTATTTATTCCACTATATATTAGCCATATTTAATTAGTTTCATATTTTATAACGATAAATTAATTATCATATTGTTTAAGTGGGGGTTATCTGATAATATTATTGTATATGCTTCATTTTACAATCGAATTGCCAAAATGATTATCCATTTCAATTGATTTTCATTTGTAAAATCTACATTGCCAAAATGCTTCAATGTATTTTGATTCTTAAAATAAGAAGCTAACTGAAAGAAGAAGAAAGCGACACAGCAAAAAATCTTTATAATAGAATTGCACTGTCTTTATCAAGATCCAAGACTCCAAGAGCCATCGGTTTTTTTTTGGGGTTTGAGTGGTTTTTCTTTTATTTTGAGTCATTAATTTGACAACTTGAATACACGATTATCTTCAATTTCAATCTCATTATATGCAATACGATACCCCTAAAATCGCAGGCCATTCAAAACCCATCCAAGTTGTTTTCTTATTGTCCAGAAAAACAATATCAGAAATTAAAATGAGTGAACCAGGGGAGAGTAAACGAATGATCATATATGTTTTTTTTTTTTTTTTTGAGTTACCCAATCCTAATTATCTCTTTGAGACGAGTTGGCTCCCTTCGGTATCCCCACGAGCTTCGACTCTTTGAGCCGGCTATGGGACTAATCCGGAGTGCGGGGAAACAGTGATGGCTAAAGGTTCAGTCCCCTCCCCAAGAATGCATTCGGCGGGAATCGAACACATATCCAACCTCACTAACTCAGCGCCAAGTTACCAACTGAGCTGCACCCATTGGGTGATCATATATGTTCTGAATCTATATCACTATTTTTTTTTTTCAGTTTTTAATAAATACCTTCTCAGTCACAAAAATATCTTATTATAAGAAAACCAACCATGTGATAATTATTTAAAAAAACAACAACATATATATAAAAACAAAAAGCTCTATATTTTTTTATTCTATTGTTCCAAACTTTTACCCGTGTTCTCTGAAAGAAAGGAGTTCCACTTTTGCAGTCTCATGATCATGTTCCTGAACATGAGCCTCCTGATCTGGCAAGATGTACTCTTTTCTCTTATGTTATATTTTTAAAATTAAAATTAAAAATAAATTATATCAGATTCCTCCTAAAGGGTGCAGGATAATGCAGGGGATCCAAACCCATAGAATATTTAGAACAAAACTTAATTGAAATACAACACTTCGTTATTGTTTCTTAAATATTGAAAAAGGAAACACATTGAATGATTATGATTTTTATTATTATTATTATTGATCCATCTTTATACAATTATGATTTATTAGTGGTAAATAAAATTATCTCAAACAACTTGAGAAACG